ACCTATTAAAAAGTCCCATTCACAGGTTAAGCCTTCTTCCATTTGATTGTGTAGATTGAAGTTTGTAGGAATTAGACGACGACTTCATTCCTGTTAGAAAGCCTAAAGAGAACTTATCAGTCGAGGCACGTTCGGTAGAAGTTTTCATATTGAGTTGAATTGTTCATTGTTGTAGGCTTTCAAGAAAGAGAAATCGGAGGAAGTCGAAGTCGTTGAGCAAAAGCAAGCGACATCAAATCTTAATGCAAGTTTTTGATTTCATATGTCGTACCTTATGTATTATTTTGGTTCAGAGTAAGCAAGAAGAGAAGGATCGAAGAAAAATTTTAAGAGGCTTGTTGAATAATGATTTCATAACTAATCAAAAGAAAGGAAACATCCAAGAAGTCAAGGTACAGGTCACACTTTCACATCCTATTATGTGATCGTTTTACAGAAAGAACTGAGAGGAGAGCTCAAAGAAGGTGATGTCATTCGTAAGAAAGCTCAAAGGTATTATACTAAGTTTCATATCCACTACGAAATATTTCTTTGCTCAGAGAACTTATGCATGGAACCGATTGTACTTGTTGTTCTGGCTATTATGACGCTTTGGAGCTTAGTCCTGAATCCAGGGCCAAACGTGTCCAGCAGGTAATTTATATTGGTATGTAAAGTTTAATGAAATATATTACAGGTCAGTAAACATAAATACATCAATAACCCATTACCAAAGACTCCGGAACATTACTGGGAGGTTATTAGCCGTTTCCCGATACTTTAACAGAAGCAAGGTTTTAGATAGGATTTCCGTCGGAGTCGGAACAGAAGAAACGCGGTCTTATAAAGCTTAGCACTCCAAAGAAAGACAGTGCCAAGAAAAGAATTATCTTTTAGATATTTTCCCTAAAATTGCCTATTTCTTTTACTATCAAAGCGGGTTTTTGTTTGTGAATAATGTAAAAAGATATAATTGAAGTGTTTGTGTTTGCTACTGAGGTCTATAGCCTTTCTTTATCTCGAGCTCACATTTATCCCCAACTGCAACTTTAGTTCAGATGGCAGAAGCTTTAAAGACGAAATTCGACGAAGAGCTCAACAAACTCAAGCAGTTGGAGAAAGGTTCTTCAGTATGCTTTTTATGTAGTGGAAACGCTTTCTTTTCAGATAAGGAAAGATACATCAGCAACCGTCAACAGTTGGAATCACAACTAACTGAGAATAATCTCGTCAAAAACGTAATATAATTAACATATGAGTATGAATACTTCAATGATTTAGGAATTCGATCTTCTTGATGATGATGCCAAAATTTACAAGCTAATTGGAGCCGTTCTCGTTAAACAAGACGTCGTCGAAGCCAAAGCTAATGTTGGAAAACGCCTGGAATACATAAATGCTGAAATGTAAAGTTTCACTCTAAGATGGTAGATCATTCTTTTTTTTTT